ATGTAGACCAGGCTGGCCTTGAACTCACAGAGATCTGCCTGCCTCTGCTTCCCAAGAGCTGGGATTAAAGGCACCACCCCACCCAGCTTCTAATTTTCTTTTCAGAGATGAAGGTCTTGTTTCTGGCTCAGGCTGTACCCAAACTCTTGGTCTGAAGACATCCTCCCCAGCCTCGCTTGTTCCCTGTATACTTGGTGGTATCTAAGTACACTGCTGACTCCTCCATGGCTGTCTGTGGAATGGGTCTGCAGCCATCTTTGCTTTACAAACAGAGATGTCTTGCATCCAGAAGGGGAGAACAGGAGACCAGGTGCCCTCAGATTGGCAAAGGGAAGCAGAGGCTACAGCTTCTTGGTAAGCAGATGCCCAGGTGTAGACGGCCAAGGGGTTACTTCACTGCAGGTTGTAGGGTCCTGAGAGGACTGGAGCACATGCCCAGCAGGCTGATGATCACTGTCACTAGTGGTTCCAGACAGAAGTACAGCTGGAATGAGGGGTGTGTGTAGTATGTGGTGGAGGATGGGGCCTGGTGCAAGGTCAGAGACAGGCACTAAGTGTATTTGGGCTAGTATTTGAGAAGAACCAGCATGAAGAAGAGACACTCATCTCAATAAACAGCTGTCATCAGAGAAGTCAGAGCTCTAATGAGAAAGAGTTCATCTAGAACTGTGTATACACTGAGTGCTTTTGGGTGGAGAACACATTGTAACCATGAAATAGGAACTGATTCTCATGACCAGGAACCTAGTAAGAATGTTGGGAATGAAGTCTGTGACCTTGGAAGTGAGAACTTCAGTAAATAAAGTGAGTCCTGGGGAAAGACATTTCAGAAGCTTGTTCTCATCCTGGTGATTCTATCAACCTTGAAACACCTCAGATAGAATTAACTAAAGGAAGAAAAGGAGTCAGAGGACAAGTTCAGAAGCTGGTAGGGGGCCTGAAGAGATGGCTCAGCATTCAAAGGACCCAAGTTAAATCTCCATTGACGTCAGGTGGCTTACTACCACCTGTAACTCCAGTTCTAGGGGATCTGGTATCCTCAGGTACCAGCACTAATGCGCATGTACCCACACACAGACATGCATAATTTAAAATAATAAAAATAAATCTTAAAAAAAAGAAGCTGGCAGATTTAGCTCTGTTGTGTGTGTGGTTGAATTCTTAAAGTGATTCTTGTATATGAATTACCAAAAAGTCGATGGAACTCATAGGAAAGTTGCTCCCTCCCTCTTGTTTGATGTCCTACTTTGCTTTCTGTTGCTGTGATTAAAACACTGACCAAAACCACCTTGGAGAAGAAAGGGTTTATTTAAAGTTTATTTGGGGCTGAGCAATGCCTCAGCACTTAAGAGCACTGACTGCTCTGGGAGAGGACCTGGGTTTGGTTCCCAGCAACCACATGGAGGCTAACAACTGCACATAACTCCAGTTACAGGAGATCTAATGCCCTCTTTTGACCTCTGTGGGCATTGCATGACACAGGTTACACTTACATGCAGGCAAAACACTCATATACTTAAAAATATAAAAATATAAAATCATATATATAATATATAATATATATATATATATATATATATATATATATATATATATATATGTTATTTCTCAAAGTAAAGTGGATATATATATATCCACTTTACCTCGAGAAATAATTTGGTTTAAGAATACAATAATGTTTGCCTTCCCCAATGCCAGGGTACAGCATAACAAATTTATTTTTATTTTATGTGTATGAGTATATTGCCTGCGTGTAAGTGTCGTGTAGTGCATGCAGAGGCTGGAGAGGATATTGGATCCCCTGGAACTGGAGTTACAGAGGGTTGTTATCTGCCTTATGGATACTGGGAACTGAACCTGGGTCTTTGCAAGAGGACCTTTCCCAAGCCCTTCCCCAAGCACATGTAGGTTAGGGCAGAATTGCCTACAGTGGATGAGGAGGAATGGCTGAATGCTCAGGTGAAGGTGCTATGACTCACCTCACCCCTCCTCCTATGAGGGACATGAACAGTTGACAAGCCTAGCTATGGTAATCACTTGCTGAACTCCTGAGGGTGGTGGCTGTTTGGCTTGGACAGTCCTATACAATAGCTGTGGTGCTGTGGCGGCCAGTTGCAAAGGCTGCACATATCTCAGCAGGTGCCCTTCTCTTTCTGTGTTCCATCTGTGCTGTTTCTCTCACAGGTTCCAAACCCTCTGGGTGTAGAGGGCAGACTATAACAGGTTCTTTTAGCAGCTGGCAAGTCTGCCAGGGTCAGACTAGAGAACACAGGCTCCCATTCTCTCAGCTCTATCACAGCTAGCAGAGATTTGACACCCTGGTCCCAGGGGAGCCTTTCTGTAGGTGACTGCCTCAGCCTGTCACACTGAAGGCACCAGGTGCACCTGTCAGCCTCTTAGGCTTCCCTTGGATCCTGCCACACCTTTCACAATGGCACAGAGGAAGCTCAGGATGCACTTGAACAGCCTGGTCATATGAAGGGCAGGGTCCTGGAAGTAGTGGCCAGTGTCAGCCTGTAGCTTTCATGGCTACAGGGAAGCTGGGTAGTATCTGAAGCCTTGTGAGCCCTGAGCTCCCTCTGGTTGCTGATGGTGAAAATCAAGAATAGAGTCCCACTCTCGCTCAAAATGCCTGTAGTTTTTTCTTTTATACTTTGCTTTTTAATTTATTTTATTTCTTTGAGATAGAGTCTCACATGGTTGCCCAGGCTATCCTGGAACTCAATATGTAATTCAGGCTGGCTTCAAACACTACTTCTGCTTCAGCCTCCTAAGTGCTAGGATTACAGGATGAGCCACCAGACCCAGCTCTATCAAAGCTCCTTACTGGGGACCCACTGGGTGAGCTTCCCAGTGAAGCCAGAAGGAGCTCCTGAACAGCAGAGGGTAACAGGAGCCCCACTTAAGAAGGGCAGCATGATGGGCGCATAGTGCCATTCTCACAGATGTTCTGCCTGCTGTCTCTCGCAGGTTTCTGTCTGATGAGAGCAGTCTAGAATATAAGTATTACAAGCTCAAGTTGGCGGAGTCACAGCGGCTGAACCACAGCTGGCCAGTGGTGGAGCGGAGGCCAACGCCAGCACAGTGCGCAGTGCGGGCTATGCTCTATGCACAGGCTGTGAGGAGCCTTAAGCGGAGACTGCTCCCATGGCAGCGCCGGCGGCTGCTTCGTCCCCAAGGGCCACGAGGCCTGAAAGCCAAGAGAGCAGCCACTGTGCCACCCACCCCTCTGTCCTCTGGCACCAGGCGGAGACCACATGGCCGCCAGGCTGTGGGCTCCTTGCATGTGAAGCCACCACCGAGGGATGCAAGTGATGCTGCCCAGGACTGTCCACCAGAGCCTGCCAGACTCCATCCTCAGGCCCCCAGCCCTGGAGCTTCTGGCCCATCTCCCCAGCCAGCACCAGGGGACAACTCTGAAGCCCCGTGGACCTCTCCCTGCCCCACTGCTGACGGTGGGTGTTCACCCTCATCCTCCCTCTCACCCCTGTCCCCACGATTATCTGGGTCCCTTCAGAACTGGGAGAGTGAAACAGGTGGTCAGCAACCTGTGCCAAGTGGCAGGCAGTACTAACAGGAACCTGGACAGGATGGATGCATGGGCAGCACTGTTCTTGATGATCCTGCTGAGGCCCTGCTTCCCTCTCCTGAGGTGCAGCTGGTGGAGGCACTGGTGGAGGTACTACCCAGGGCCTTCCTGGGGCAGCCAGGCAAGGCCTATGCCTGTGGTTCCATCTCACCACCATTGCCCTTGTCTACTTTTGCCAAAGTCCACTGAGGTATGAGTCTGTTGTGCAGAAGGACACAGTTAGCATTTTGTTTGGGGGAGATTTTGTTTGTTTCTTTGTTTTGGTTTATTTGAGACAGGGTCTATCTGTAGCCCCAGGCAGCCTAAACTCTTTATGTAGACCAGGCTGGCCTTGAACTCACAGAAATTTGCCTTCCTCCCACCTCCTCCCTTAGTGCTGGGATTAAAGGCATGCACCACCACACCTAGCACAAGATTATTTTGTTTTGTGACAAGGTCTCAGTCTGTACCCTGGCTGACCTGTAACTCACTATAGAGCTAGGTTTGACCTGGGACTTAGAGTACCTCTCCTGCCTCATTCTCCCATGCTGGGATTTTGGTATGTGCCAGCTGTCATAGGGTACACATCTGTCATCCCAACCCTCAGGAGGTGGAGGCAGTAGAAAGAGTTCAAATCTAGCCTCCCTCCAAAAAAGCTAAAGGAAGCTGTATAAATAATTAATAGTATATTATTTAGGGACCGGGGATTTTTAAATGTGTAGTTTAGTACATACATAATTGTTTTCTAAGTATCTTTGTTGGCTTGGGTTTGGTGGTGCTGGAGCCTCAGGCCTGCTGGACAAATCACCATCAAGCTGCATTCTGAGTGCTTTCCAAGTATTTCGACCTGACCTGATTGAACCTGCAGATGCAGGGTCAAATACTGACTACTTGTGCCAGCCCTCCGTGGTGTTCCCTGGAACGCCAAGTGTGTTGCTCTGCCCCTCCACAGTTTCCAGGCTGATTATGTGACCTGTTTGATTACCACCAGTGTCACCTCCCCTCTGCCTGGCACTCCCACCTAGCTAGCAGTGGGAACTCTGGCAGACTCTATGGCATCCAAGTACCACCTTGGCCGCTCTTGTTTCCCTGCTCTGCATGAGTATTCTGAGCCTGCCAGCAACAGGGTGTTGCCTGCAAGTGTCTGAGCAGCTGTAGCTTGTCAGTCTGTTGGCTGAGGTGATGAGGGTAACTATCACACCCCTGTCCCCCTCCCCCAGCAGGCAGCCCAGATGTGTATAGTGCTGCTCAGAGCCTCAGGATTGGAGTGTGGACTCCACAGATGACATAGTACAGGGATGGATGGGAGGGGGCAGTGAGCAGCAGCATGAGTCAGTCTGAGGACCACTGCTTTCTGTTTTATAGTGGATGCAAAGACCATGGAGACTGCGGAGAAGCTGGCCAGGTTTGTGGCTCAGGTGGGCCCTGAGATTGAGAAGTTCAGCATAGAGAACAGCACCGACAACCCCGATCTCTGGTATGTCCCTTGGGCCCCTTTGCACCCCACAGGCACAGTGCCTCTGCCCAGCCTGGTGGGAGCTGGAGGGCATCTGCTGGGTCAGCTCACCTAGGTCATCAGGAAAAGTGTCGTCCTTCCTACTCTCTCACAGGAGGTCAGCTGCCTGGAGATGACAGACATAGGGCCAGGTGCTCCAGGAGGGTTTGTGTATGTGCCTCAGAAGTTGTCAGAAAAAAAAAATCCAGAAACCAGCCCACTTACTGCAGCTGCTGAGAGAGCTCTGTGATGGGAATGCCCCTGGGCTTCCTCTGGATGCCGTGGGAGGCCTCTTGATCTCCACTGTGCCCACATGCTCCCAGGACCAGGCCTAGCCCTACTGTGGCTCCTTCCAGCTTACTAGAGAGCTGTGCCTGGTTTGACTGATTGAATTCAGGAAGCCTGGGCTCCCCAGCACCACAACAAAGTACAGTTGAAAACTGGAAAGATGGAAGGAAGGAGGGAAAAGCTTTACAAGTCTTAAGGGACTTCCAGGTTAGTGAGGCCAGCATGCTTCTCTAGCTGGCTGGACCTCCTGCATGCACTGTGTTCTACACTCCTCTTATTCCTGGCCCTTGACAATCCCACTTGGGCCACCTCCTGCTCCTAGGAGACATATAGCCTGCTTCTGCCTACACAGACCTTGAGGGCCTGCTGTCACGTGGGTATCTCCTTAGCCAGGACTAGCAGATGCTTCCTATCAGGCCTTTACTTGAGCCCTTTTTTGTTTCAGTGAAAATTAGTTTGAATGGAAACCTTGCACCATCCTAGGTCCTTGGGTTTTCCCAGGGCTCTGACAGCCTGTTCAGGGCAGTGTTGCTTAGGTACTCTGTTCTCCCCAGAGGTCAAGTCTATGGTCAGCCTGGCTTCATTTCCTCCAGTTTGTGACAAGGCAGAAAGTCAGGGCAGGGCAGGCATCAGGGTGGCCCGGAAGCAGAGCAGACATATGTGGCACCACTGGGCTTTCTCCTCCTCCCCTCTTGCTCCATCTTAGCCCCCCATGGGAGGGTGCTGGGCACATCAGACAGGCCTCCTCCTCTACTGTCTGACAGCCAGTTAGCTCTGCCTCCCCACTACCTAATCCAGGTTGATGGGCTTCTGGTAATGGGCTTTCCCATCCCTTCTGCCTGCCAGCTCTCACTTCCCTGGGGCAGCTGCTCATCAGTTGTCACTGTCTACTACTGTATACGTCATAGAACTTTGTGTGTGTGTACCTGTGTGAAATTATATGCACCATACAGATGCCTACAGAGGCCAGAAGAGGACATTAGATCTGCAACTGGAGTTACAGGTGGTTAGGAGTTGCTAGGTGTAGGTGTTAGGAACCAAACACAGGTCCTCTACAAGAGCAGTACATGTTCTTGAACACTGAGCCATATTTCCAGCCCTTCCACTTATTTTTTGAGACAAGGTCTCTCACAAAACCTGGAGTTTACTGATTTGTTTAAGTTGGCTGGCCAGTGAGCCCCAAGGATCCTGTCTCTAGCCCCCAGAATTGAGGTCATGGGCCTAGGCCACCCAGTGTGGCTTTTCCATGGGTTTGGGGATCTGAACTTGGGTCCTGATGCTTGTGTAGCAAGTACTTTACTCACTGAGCCATCTCCCCAGCCCAGCTTGCTAGACTTTTTGGAACCATGAAGTGTGTGCTCCTCTGTCTGGCTTCTCCCATCAAGGGCTGTTCACATTCAGTAGTGCATTGCATGTGCTGAGTACTTTGTATTGCAGAACCCTATTTCACCAGTGACTGCACCCCTGTTGTGTCCATCACCTGCTGGTTGATGGTTTGGGACAGTTGCAAACTTGCATATGTGAGCGTTCACACAAGGCCTGGGAGAGACTGGGATATCCAACCCTAGGTTCCATCCCCAACCCCACCAAAGGAAGGGAGTGTCTAGTGTGGATGCTTGGTGTCATCTTGGGGGACAAATACTGAATTGAGGGAAGTCTGGTTCACAGCTGGCTGAGGAGTGCCACAGCTCCCAGTCCTTGCCACGTCTCCTGGTTTCTTGGTTCTCTCTGTGTGAGCTTCCTGGTTGCTTAATCAGCAACTATTCAGACCTTTCATCCTTTAATTTTAAAAAATTTATTGTGTTTGCAATGTGTATGTGTGCACTTTTTTTTTTTAAATGTGTATGAGTGTATTGCCTGCATGTATGTGAGTGCACCCGTGTCATGCAGTGCTGCAGAGGTCAGAAGAGGGTGTTGGATTCCCCTGGAACAGAGTTAAGGACGGTTTGTAGCCCCCATGTGGGTGCTGGGAATCGAACCCAGGTCCTCTACAAGAGCACAGTCAGTGCTCTTAACCGCTGAGCCATCTCTCCAGCCCATGTGTGCACTTTTTAGAGTCTGTTTTCTCCTTCCACCATGGGTTCCAGGGACTGAGCTCAGTTCTAAGGCTTGCATAGCAAGTGCTTTAAAAAAAAAAAAAAAAAAAAAAACAACCTGCTGAGCCATCTTGCTGGCCCGTGTGTGTGTGTGTGTGTGTGTGTGTGTGCACGCGCACTAGGAATACAATGAAATTTGGGGCCTCCTGCATAATGTGCAAGTATCCTATCTTGTCCCCATCCAGGGAAAATTGTTAGGTACTTTTAGTTCTGGTCATTTGGAATTCCAGTTCTCAAAGATTCTATCTCATGAGCTGGGCCATAGGGAGTTTGGGTCCAGCTGCTACTTCCATCGTAGGCCAGGTGAGGAGCATCTCACTGTCCTCTGGGTCACCAGTGAGTTTCATCTCTTCTCAGGTTCCTGCATGACCAGAGCAGCTCAGCTTTCAAGTTCTACCGCAAGAAAGTATTTGAGCTGTGCCCCTCCATTTCTTTTGAACCCTCATCCCCTAGTCTTCCTGCTGGTGGCAGCGAGCTAGGGGACTCTGCAGAGAGCCCTGCAGCCCATGTGCAGGGAGAAGAACCAGAGGAGGGGCACCCGCTGCAGGAGGCTGTGCTGGAGGACCCAGATGTGCTACCTGAGGAGGAAGAGGAGGAAGAGGATGAGGACGAGGAGGGTGGAGAGGAGGCCCATATCCCCAGGCCAGAAGCAGGAGCCACTAAGTGTCCAGGCTCTGAGGGCAGTTCTCCTGCTGATAGCACCCCTGGAGAGGGGCCTGAGGAGGACCCTACTGGAGCCCCTTACCTATCACAGGCCACCTCAGGCAGTTGCTTTCCCCGGAAGAGGATCAGCAGCAAATCACTGAAAGTTGGCATGATTCCTGCCCCTAAGAGAGTGTGTCTCATCCAGGAGCCAAAAGGTGGGTGCTTACCCACTTATAGTCCTGTGGGGGCCCGTGAAGGTGGTAGGCACAGTGCTGTGCCATTTTGAATACACCATTTTCTGCCAGACTGACCTGACTGTAGGTCCCTGTCACCCCACTTGATGACATGTCCTGCCTTACCTTGCTGGTAACCTCTGGGCCCAAGGATCCTGTATGTGTGTGGCACCCCCCCACCAAGAACAGGCGACTCAAGTGTGGAGTTTTCTGTTTTTAGGACTTGGGCTGTGGGTGGCATTTGGTTTTTCTGTTTTGGTTTCCTTTAAGGTAGTGTATACTCTGGCCTTGTACTCAGAGTGGTCTTCGTACCCCAGCCTCCCCCATGAGGAGATTTCAGGCGGGAACCACCATGAGCAGCTACTTGGACTGTCTGGTGATGTGTGGTCGTGGCAGTGCAGACTGGCTGATGCTGAGCATGTCTATTGCCATGAGCTGCCCTCGGCACTGGGATTGTGTTTCCACTGTAAAGTATTTCTGGCCATTGTGTACTGCACTCTGCAGTGTCTTCTCAGTATCTGTGTATCCGGGAGGAGAGTTGCTGTCACCACTGGGCTCTGGCAGAGGCCCATCCCACCACCTCCCACCCTTGAGCCTGCGGTATACCTGCATTCCGAGTCCTCAGAGGCCCCAGTTAGGGTACCTGTTTCCTGTCCTGAAGGTGGGAGGACATAGGCCGGGGGTGGTTACCAGCAGCCCTCAGGACCTGTGGACTGTGTGACACTGTCACCTTATAGGCAGAGGTGTCCACTTGGCACAGTCCTGTGTATGCATGTGGGCCTTTAGGCCTGTAACCAGCGGTCCCTCTGTCACCCTTGTATCCTGCATCCTTATGTGCAAGGTACTTACCCATTCAGCTCACGGGAGGAAAGCGCATTTCTTTCTTAGCTCAGGTAAGACAGACAGCCCTGCTGCTCCCCTTCAGTGACACCCATGGCAACAACTTATACTCTGTTGAACTTGATGACTCCTGACTGGACAGTTAGAGGACTTGGTGTCCTCCCAGTAGAGTCCTCACAACTGAGCTAGGAGAGCACAGTACTGTTGTGGTTCGCTTGCTGAAGGAGTGCATTCCTGTGGTCAGGGGATGCAGCCCAAAGCGGCAGGTTTCTGTGATGGATGGGGGTCTTAGGTTGAGTAGAGCCCTTAGTAATGGTCAGAGTTGCTTGCTTGACACGGTCAGCCTCTACAGACTTGTACTGTCACAGCCATTCACAGCTCAGCTCACCAGTGACAACATCTTGAAGAGCTAGGGAGGAGAGAGGAGCCAGCGGTGGTATGTGCAGCACTTCTGCGGCATGCAGCATCTCTGTCTCCAAGGACATTGGTGCAAATGCATAGTGTGGATGGTTCTCTCTTTATTTTTCCAGTCCATGAACCAGTTCGAATTGCCTATGATAGGCCTCGGGGTTGCCCCATAGCCAAAAAGAAGGTGAGTGTGAGCATGTAACCCCTCCCTGGAGGTGAAAGTCCGAATGGGTGACCTACTGCTTGTCATGAGTACTTGGCAGAACTGGGTATGCAATACGCTTCTATGCCCAGGTGCTCGGGAGGCTGACGGGGAGAATCCCGTTTGCATAGGAACCCCTGGCCGGCCTAGGCAGCATAATAAGCCCTATCCCCAAGTCAACAGCCAGGATGGGCATGCCTGTCATCCCTGCCTTCAGGAGTCTGGGGCAGGAGGATCTCAGGTTTGAGGTGGGCCTGGGCAATGGAGAGAGACTCAATCCCTGTCCCCACCTCCCCACAATAAAAATAAACTGCAAAGTATACAGGGTAGTGATAAGTCCAACTGTCACAGGACTGTTAATAGGACTCTGCTCAGTCCTTCCTGCTGAGCCTTTGGCCTAGACCTTGCCAGCCCCTCCCTCACACGGTTTCCGTCACAGTCTCAGCACAGGGCAGCAGTGAGCACACCCCAGATCCAGGTAACCTGGGTAGATAGCTGACTTCAAGAAGTCCCTCCCCCAGGGATGTTGCAGGGAAGCTGGAGGTGGATGGGACTCAATATCCCAGGCGTCAGGGGTCAGGATGACACTCAGAGGGTCAAAGAGGAACAGACTGGCCCAGGCTCTTCTCTGTGACCTACCAACTCAGCTTGCTCTCTCCTCAGAAACCCAAGGACCTGGAGTTTGCCCAGCAGAAGCTGACTGACAAGAACCTGGGCTTCCAAATGCTGCAGAAGATGGGCTGGAAGGAGGGCCGAGGCCTGGGCTCCCTTGGGAAGGGCATCCGAGAACCTGTCAGTGTGTACGAAAGGGCCAGGGCGACCCCCTTGTGTTGCAGCTGGACCAGAGTGGGTGGCTGGGTGGTTTTTTTTTTTTTCTTCCCTGGAAACTGAGCCTAATTTCTTCCTGGCGGGCGTTCCTAGAAAGCCATTGCAGTCCACCAGGGTGGGAAACAGCTTCTGAGCCCCTATTCATATCAAGAGGGTATCTTCCTTAGCACTGAGCACATCCCCTGCATGAAGCATGGCCTGGGCTATAGACCCCTTAGAAGGCTCCTGCCAGGCATGGTAGCACTCTCTTTTGATCCCAGGTCTTGGGAAGCAGGGGATCGTGACTTCCAGGACAGCCTGGGCTACATAGAGAGATCCTGTCTCAAAAAGAAGCACAGAAAAGCTAGTGCTTCCAAGAGCGTAGTCCTCTTTTCTTTCCCACTGTGCCTTGTGTCTTTTCTTCTTTGTTTTTATTTTTTCCATGCTGGGGAGGGAACCCTGAGCCTCACCATGCTTGGCAAACACTCTGCTATCAAGCCACACTCCAGCCCTATGACTTGATTCCCCCTCAATGTCTATGTCCCTGTGTCCCATGTCCACTCCTGGCTCTCAGCTCTGACTAGGCACTCTGCTTCATAGGGGAACTCTCTCAGAAGGAGAGGGCCTGGGGGCCGACGGGCCAGAGCAGAAAGAAGACACGTTCGATGTCTTCCGCCAGCGCATGATGCAGATGTACAGACACAAGCGGGCCAGCAAATAGGTGCGTGCTGGGACCCCTGACACTATCAGAAGGAAACTCCAAGGGAGGCCGAAGGGCCTTGCATGGCTTGCAACCTCTCTTTCTGTCCAGGTATGCAGAGGAGGCAGCCCCTTCCACAAAGGCCTACTGGCCTCAGACATCATGTTCTACTCCGGGTGCCTTGCAGTGGCCTCTGGGGGGCGCCAAGCATGCTATCGGGTACGGGCCACCTTTGGCCCCACTCTTGCTTAAGGTTCCTCTCAAAGAGGTGGTGTCATGAAGCCAAGACAGACTTGCTGGTCAATGGCCTTGCTGCGCCCACCTTTTCCTTCCTGAGGACTCTCCAGTGCCATCCTGTGAAGGCCTTGGACCTGTGGGCCTCCTTCTTCTCTTGGTTTTTTAAATTATGCTTATGTATCTGTATCGTGTGTGTCTGAACATGTGTGTGCCATGGAACATGCGTGGAGGTTAGAGGACAATTTGCAGGAGTTAGTTCTCTCCTCCCACCATGTGGGTTCCAGGATTGGACTCAGGTCACCAGGCTTGGCAGCAAGTGCCCTTGGCCGTTGAGCCATCGTTCTTGGTTCTTGACCCTCTCACCCACAGTGCTTCATGCTCAGTTCTCAACAGCCATTCTCTTCCTGACTAGATCAGAGCCACTGTGGACAGAGATAAGCCTGGAAGCAGCCCTTTCCCTTCCCACCCTGCCTTGGACGCCTGCAGCCCAACCTCGGTGTGTACTCAGCCCACTTCTCATCATATCGCAGGGTCAGCTTCCATTGGGCCTTGCTTCTCTCCAAACTACAGTGGCTGTTCTCAGGCATTCTCCCCTGTCCCTCTTCTGACTCTTCCCTTTGTCTTGTTCCTTTTCGTAAAAAGGTGACACCTCAGCCTTAGTACCCGAGACCTGGCTCTCCTGCTGGTCCTTTGCAGCACCCTGCCCTCTTGTCTCTGGAGCTTACCTGGAGCTGCCTAGCCTCTGGCCTGAGGCTCTGATGGAGCCAGGTGGATTCCTGCTGTTCTGTGTGTATCAATAGCATCTCATCATTTCTGAACATCCTAAGAGGCCTGTATAGTATGCACACCTGTGAGCCAGAGCTCCTCAGGCAGAGGCAGGAGGTCTTTTCAAGTTTGATGCCAACCTGGTCCTTTAAAATAATATCTTGAGCCAGGTATAGTGGTTCACGCCTTTAACCCCAGCACTCTGGAGGCAGAGACAGGTAGATCTGTGATCGAGGCCAGCCTGGTCTACACAAGGAGTTCAGGCCAGCTGGAACTACATGGAAACACTGTCGCAAAAGAAAAACAAAAACATCTTGAGAGATTTCTCAAAGTCTTAGCGGCACCCCCCCCACCCCATTTAATAGAACTGGGGCTTGTGTACTTCACTGTACTTCTAGCTGTCTTGACATAAAGAAGTTAGAGTGAGGAAACTCCCAGGTGTACATGTCTCTGACCTCCACAGAAAGTGTACATAGACCTCCCTGCAGGGGTGCTGTGACATCCCAGCATGGTGTGCCATCTAGTGTCGTTTTGTAATGCCTCTGGAAGGTAGGGAAGAGTTATCAGATGGAGATAGTTGTCTCAAGGAGGTTGGTTGTGAAACCCTTGCTGTGCCCAGCAGTGGTTGGTGTTTGAAATGCCTGGGCACATCCAGAAAGCTTGGTGTCTGCTGGCATTAGGGCTGGGAACTCTGGTCATTGATCAGCCAGGGCATAGCTGGAAGTTCGGCCTGTGGGCCATGAGGATCCTGTTGTCTTAAAGCTCAGCCTTCCCAGGCCGTGCCTGGCTCTACTCTGCTCTCACCCCCGCTGCCCCTATTTTTCACAGCCAATGCAGATCCAGGCCCAGCTGGCTCTTCCTCTTATGTTGCCTTGGCAACCTGCAGGTCTTAATGGCTATGGAGGTCCCACACTCTGGGTCTCTGATTGGCAGATGTGCCAGCCTCTAAGATGAGAGATGAGAGGTTCAAAGACCCCAGTCTGTAGCTTTTGTCTTTTGGTTTTTTCTTTCCTGACTTTCCAGCAGCTTCATGTTAGCTATCGGTTGGGATGGGGCCCTGGTCCACGATGGGCTCTTGAGAGGAGCTCTTGACCCCAAGCAAGGTAAAGCTTCAACATGCTTTACCCCTGCCTCCAGCTTCTCCCCAAGGTGCTGCTCTTTGTGCTAGCCTATTGGGTCTTTGAAGAATTGTAGTTATATGGCCCTGCTTTGAGTTTCCTGTCACTCCCGGGGTTGAGACTGTTGGGGAGACCATAGGGGGCTGGCTTGCCAAGCCTAGAGTTCATGACACTTGTCTAGGCACTCTCCTATAGATGGGACAGGCAACAGACGCCCTCTACCAGTCTGCATGTGCTGCCATGGCCTCCGCACCCTCTTCCTCCCAAGGCTGGCCTTGGTCTCCAGCCAAGCTGCTCTGCGGGCAGGGGCCTTGGAGGACATGCATGCACACTTACATGCCATTGTCCCATCACAGTGTCTCTCCTGTCATTCTGGTTACAGGGTCCCTTCTGCAAGGGCCACAGAATCTGAAAGTACCAGCCTGCCTCAGCAGGATATGCCCTGGTTCCGCGCTTCTGTTGCTGGACGTCTGTCCTGAACGTTGGTGGTTCTGGTCCCTGGTAAAACCTGGAAGACAATTGTGATGCCGCCAACTTGAAGTTGTTTATGTGTAAGGATCTAAGAAGTTGTGGATGTTGTCAGTATTGAGCACTTGCAATAAACACAGAGCAGCCCACTGCCTAGTCCTGCGTGCTTAGCCATGAGATTGGCATGCTTGCCCCTGAGGCACGCGTGGGGAGTTTAAGGTCAGGCTGGCCTGTGTCACCTTGAAAAACAGAAAATAAGGACTGCCGGCTCAGCAGTTAAGGCCACCAGTTGCTCTTGCAGAGGACCTGGGTTTGAGTCCCGGCACCCACATGGCAGCTCACAACTGTCTGTAATTCCAGTTCCAGGATATCCAATGCCCTCCTCTGACCTCTGCAGGTACACTTAGACACATGTAAGCAATACACTCAAACACATAAAATAAAAATAAAATATTTAAAAAGAAAAAGAAAAACAGAAAATAAGTCAGTAGTGACTCGTGTCTTTAATCAGCTCTGGGGAGGCTGAAACAGAATTGTTATGAGTTCCAGGATATCCTGGATCACAGAGTCAAACTGCCTCAGAAAATAAAGTTGACCTTGTGAGGAGAGAGTGAAAGGTCACAGTGCAGACCTAGGCCTAACAGGATACCCAGGACCCAGTGATGGGTATCCCCAGGCCAAACAATAGTATCTGCATCCCTGACGGTGTGTGTCCCCCATGCCTGACCATGGGCAGCCTCCATGCCTGATCAAGCCCTAACATTAGGCTGTCACCCCAGACTTAACATCAGCTGTCCCTTGGACCTGACTGCCGCAAACCACGACTCCGTCCAGCAGAGCCGAGGAAAGACAACACAGACACCAAGGTGAGGTTCAGGCTTCTTCTTCTCACTCTCTCTCTTCTCTCTTAGTACACACTTCAGCTCTTCATATAGCGTTCCCAACAGCCCTCCCCCCAGCCAGGACCAATCAGGGCACACACACACACGTACCGGGCAGGCAGAGTGGCAGCTTATTGGGCCACGTAGCAGGATCATACTCGATGATGTCTCTGATCAAGCAGGCAGCACATGATCGGGCTTATTGTGCTTGTGCAGGTTGAAGTAAACAAGTGAGGGGCACAAGGCTTGGCAGCCAGCCAGGGCGCCATCCTGGCCGGCTCAGAACCTGATGACAGACACTTGCCCAGGCCTAATGCTAAACTATTCCCCAGGTCTGATGATGGGTGATCCCCAGGCTAGATGACAGCTGCCCCTGAGGCCTGCTGCACTCTGCAGGCCTCTAATGACTGGCTTGCCTAGTAGGTGCCCTCTGTGGCCCAGGCTGGCATTTAACTCAAGATCTTCCTGCTTCCTCTTTCCAAGTGCTGATATCACAGGTCTGTGCTACCACACATGGTCTCAAGAGAGTGACTGTCCAGGGCTTGCCCTCCTGGTTCCTACCTGGGTCTGCATCAGCCTTGGGCGTTGTTTTTCCCCTTTGAGCTCTTGGCCTCTTAGTCTTCCACTAAACCTCCCCCCTCCAGCTCTAAGTAGGCAGATAGCAAGGAAACCAGGCTGGGCACCATGCCCTGAACAGGTGATGCTGCACTTAGGAGGGACCCTGGGTGCAGCCTAGAGACCAACAGACAGCACAGGGCCATTGAGAAGTCTCCCCTCCCATTGCTGCCTCCTGGAGGACCTCTGACCATGACAGACCAGCAGCAGCCAAGCCCTCACCACCATGGTCTCCTCTAGCCACGGTAAAGGGCATACAGGTAGGCACAGCAGGGTCTCCAACTTCAGATGTGGGTCTTGGTCCTGGCTCTGACCTCTGGCCTTAGTTTTCCTCTGTAAACTAGGATGTGTCCCTGCAACTGAGTTTGGGGCTACATGGGAACTAAATGTTTCTCAGCCAAGAGGTCGTCCCCTCACCCCACTTCCACAGCCTAGAGGCTGAGGTCATATCCAAGCAATACAGGCCAAAAGAGAGAAAGCAAAACCTAGATATCAAGCCATGCATGGTGGCCACAGGTGTGGGTGTGGCTCCAGAGGCTAAGGGAGTTCTGGGCCAGACAGCAAGGCTCTGACTCAAGCAGACACAAGACAGATACCTGCAGAATAGAGCGCAGACATCCCCTCCTGTGTCAGATGACAGGCACATGTGGACCTTGGCAGCTCCCAAAGCCCAGCAGCGTTCAGAAGCTGCACCCTGAGGAATGCTTGCCAGCATGGAGCAGAGCAGACATGCCCCTTTCAAGGCTGTTCATGACACCTCACAGACTACAGCTTTCAGACAGTTGTTTTTGAAACTACAGTCACTTCACAGTCATTTTCATCACTTGTTTTTATAATTAAATTTTTAATTTATCTGTGGGGAGGGGGGCCTCATGTGCCACTGCACCCCTGTCAAGGTTAGAGGACAACTTGCTGGAGTTGATTTCTCTCTTTCTGCCATGTGGGTCCTGGGGATCGAACTCAGGTTATCAGGTGTGGTGACAAATGCCTTTACCTGCTGAGCCAGCTCACTGGCCTGTCAGTTGTTTTCACTTAAGGAAAGCATGTATGTATTAGGGCTGAAGTATGGCTGAGCCACAGGCAAAAGTTTGGGTTCTATCCCCAGGACTACTGAAATTAAAAATTTTTTCTTTTTTGAGACAGGGACTCAACTATATATTCCTGACTAGCCTAGAACTCAGAGATGCACCTGCCTCTGCCGCCTGAGTACTGGGATTAAAGGTGTGTGCCAGCACACCAAGCATGGAATAAATAGAAAACACATGTTCACTCATAGAAACTATCAATCATGTAGCTTCTGCCATTTGGCTTACTTACCAGACCTTGGTCAGTGAAGCCCCAGAAATAGCACTTGGGGGCAGGGGCATCCCTAGCAGCACTGCCTGGGCCTCAAGATGAACCTGACCCATGAAGTCCCCACAGTCCCTGAACTCTGACCCTGTCACTGTGGCCTGTAGTCCCCCAACTTCTGTGATCTAGGAGCCAGTTCCAGCCAAAGGACACTGTGCCCTGAGGGGATACCAGGCCTCTTTATCCCTGTCCAGTGTCTGCCCCTTCAAGGTCTCAAGGTCCCACTGCAGCAGCAGGGACCAGATAGCTGGGGTGGTCTCATTGAGGGGCTATGGATGCCCAAGGTCCAGTAACCCAGGACCCCCTCAACAGGGCTGCAGGTCACCTCTGCTTCTTCCACTCCCTGAAAGCTCAGACTAAGAAGTGGGCTAAAGCCATGCCATCCCAACCACCGCCCTACCACTGCCCACCACACTGCACTCAGGAAAACGGATGCCTAGGGAGAAGATGGTCCCTCAATCTTTCTAAGTCCTTTTGTGGAACCACAGAACCTGTTCTGTCATGACCAGGCTACCATACTTCCAGTTCAGCATGGCTTAACAACCGCACCCCAGAGCCCAGGAACCACCTGCTCCTGAGCATGGAATGTGGAGCCAGCCCTGTACCCCATCCTGCCTTACTCGCTGCACCAGGATACCAGGAAGTCTCTGCCTCCCCTCTGGCATTTGCAGACATGAAAGCAAGAGCTCACTCTAGGACCATAACTGGCCTTAAACTTCCTACTATCCTCCTGCCCCTGCCTCCAGGGTGCTGGGATGACAGGTGTTCCCTGTCCCCACCCAAATAATACAGTGTGTTGTGCTGTATAAAAACATAAGGAGAGCTGGGCATGGTGGCATATGCCTTTAATCCCAGCACTTGGGAGACAGAGGCAGGCGGATCTCTGTGAGTTCAAGGCCAGCCTGGTCTACATAGTGAGTTCCAGGTCAGCTGGGACTACCAGGAGACCCTCTCTCAAAAAGACCCCTCCTCCAATTTTTTTTTTTGAAGAAAGCATGTACAGTACAGCGGAGAAAGGGTATCATTGGGTCCCAGGCTGCGAGGAAACATCACGTGGTACCTTGAAGGATGACTCAGCATAGCAGGTGGAGGAAAGGCATGTGCAAAGGTCCTGTGGTGGAATCTTGGCGGCCAGAAAGAATGTGCATGCATTCCTTCCACATTGCTGTATTAAAGCACCTGAGGGAAGCTTTTTTAAAATCTATGTGTTTTGCCTCATGTATGTAAGTTTACCACATGAGTGTAGTGCCCACGAAGGTCAGAAGAGGATGTTGGATCCCCTGGAACTGGAGTTATGGATAGTTGTTAGCTGCCATGTTGGTGCTGGGAACTGAACCCAGGTCTTCTGCAAGAGCAGCCAGTACTCCTAGCCACTAAGCCTTCTCTACAGCCTTTTTTAAAGATTTTTTTTTTTAATTTAGGATCTTCTTATAGGTCCACCTGGCCTGGAACTCACTATGTAGACCAGGCTGGCCTCAATCTCACAAAGATCCACCTGCTTCTGCATCCTGAGTCCTGGGACTAAAGGTGTGCAACCAGCAAACCCAGCAAGATTTTGTGTGTCTGTGTCTGTGGTGAGTGTGCATGTTTATGTGCACATGGGTGCAGCTGCCAACATCTTGTCTTTATGGATTTGATTATTCTAGATATTTCTATCAATGGAGTCTAATATGTGGCCTTTTGTATCTGTCTTCTCTAATTTAGACTTTTTTTGTACTAAGGATAGAACCTTCCTGCATATTGGGCAAGTCTTCCATCATTGAGCCATGAGCCCTAACCCCTCACTGGGGGATCCTAAGCAGGGGCTCTGCCCCTGAGCCACACCCCCAATCCCTCACTAGGGTATTCTAGGCAGGGGCTCTGCCCCTGAGCCACACTCCCAGACCCTCCCTGAGAGATTTCAGGCAAGGACTCTACCACTGAACCACACCCCCAGACCCTCACTGGGGGATTCTAAGCTGTCAATCTACTGCTTAGCCACCCCTCCTATACTTTTCTGAATGATAGTTGGGCCTACTGGATGCAGGATCAGATTGAGGTCAGGTGT